CGAGCTGGCTCCTTTGGCTGCAAGCCCTCGCTTGCCCCCGGGCACGGGCGCGCATACTTTCGCCCCGGCGCGGCGTCCTCTTAGCCGAGTTATGAATGATCAAAGTTTCGCCCTAACGAGGGACGCCCCCAGGGTTACCCCGAGCCCGGGCACGAACCCAAGAGCCACGATTTCTTAGCCCGCCTTTCCGGATCAGTTTCTTCCATGAACTCCGCGGAAAAGAAAAAGAGTTCCCTTTGAAGACAATATACAAAGAGTTAACCACACTTCGATTTTATGAACCACAAAACTCAGACGCACTCTAATCTGTAACCGTTCGTCACTATTCCAAACTTCATTTCACTACTTCTCATCATTTTATGTTATTTTCAAATAATAATAACAATAATATAAACAATAATTATTATTATAATTTACATAATGTAAACTTCTTTAATTAAATGATAAAATCCTCTCACAACTATTGAGGTATTTTCGTGACATGAAAAACAAGTATATATTTTCTAAATATTCTGTGGTTAATTTTAAGTGCACGTCCTGTTGTTTTTATCCGTTTGTTTATGCAGGAATATAAACTTTTGAAAGATGACTTCAACCGTTACACCACCCTCAACACTACACCTCTGAGTTGTGTAATTGGCTGGCAGCCTCGTGTAATCTGGCTGTAGCGCAAACCGCTGACACCGTTTTCTTTCGAGTGCCCTCCACTCGACGTTTCAACTCTCGCCCGGCGGCAGGGCTCGAGGGCGGTGCGCGAAGTGAACACTAGACGCCCCGTTGACTCGCCCATGAATTTTCGCGTACGTAGGCCCAGATATGCCACTCACCACGTGACCTATTCGGCGACATCATACCAACGTATCAGGTACAGTAAAACGCTAGTATGAAGCTTTTGCTTACAAAAAGTGGGAGAATAAAAATATTAATGATAGCTATTATGACCAGGATTAAAAAAGGAATTCAAATCCGAGGATTATTTCAAAATGAATGGCTTGAGTCCGAAACTTTAAGCATTTATTTTACTTTCAACGATCTCGCAAAAAGCTGTTATTTGTTCTAAATTAAGCGCGAAAAATTTCATTTACATTCACTAAAAAAGATATGTGCAATTTGGCAATAAGCATTAAAAAGTTATCGTGAAGTCAAATTAAATCTGGGATGCGCCGAGGGCCGTACTTGAAACAGGGAATGTTATTCCTCGCGATCGAAGAAACCCTACTGTCTTCAATAAAAGAAACCTGGAATACTAACTTGAATCGTCTCGCCCTTTGCAGCAGTTTTTATCACTTAATAACCCTCAACAAGTTCAACTGCCTGATAGCATGTCTCCCCTTGTAGAGAGAGACAAAACGTGACACAATGCACAGATGAGTCCACGGTTGCAAATTTACAGCATTGTCGAGATCGGTGCCAGTAGACAAAAATAAAATTGTAACGAAAACGATACCACACGGTCTATCGGCCTCGTATTACATTTTCAAAATAAAATGCCAGTTTTATTACCCGTATTATAATTATTTTTGAACAATTCAGAATCCTAATAAAGATAGAGAGAACATAGGAAACATCAAGCGTTCGCTACAAATAGTTTTTACCACGAAGGACACAATTTCATGCACAAAACAAAGGTATAAACTGAACTAAGATATAATTGACGACCAATTTTCCTTGACTTCTAACGATTCTGAAACTTCCCCAAACGTTTCTCCAACAATGCTAATTTTCCTATGTTTCTCGCTTTTCCAGATGGTGGTAATGATTTCCCGGACTCACCGGGAGAGTCGACTGTGTTAAATAACCCCCGTGTTTTCGTTCGCCAGCACACAACTTGCGCGGTGCGCGGTCTGGGGGTTGGTCGGAGGGCGCGGAAAAATTACGGGGCTGTAAATCCTCCCCTCCCCGTTGAGACTCGTCGATATAAGTCACACAAGCGCCATCGCAAATCACACAATTCACGGGCGTAACTCGTTTCTAGAGCGGTATAACCGAACTGCGACATTTTTTAGGGTCGTCGTTTCGAATACACGCGGATAGTAGGAAATTGCTACTGGATATTCCTAAAATTCTACTTAAAATCAGCGAAAACACATCAGATACATTTTATACATATCAGTTCAAAACTAGTTGCAAAACGTTCCTCTGTAATTTTGGGTAGTACTGGAATGAAACTGTATAACATGCAGAACTGTCGTGGATTGAACTAATGGATTGAACTAATTGCAATATGAGAAGAAATAAACATACTATTACATTAAAAACGAATATTTCATTTATTTCATTCATATGATGGGATAAAAATTCGAAAGATTTAAAGAGGGAACACAAATATACTAAAATATTCGATGAAAAAAATATTAAATGAAACTTCCATTTCTCTCCGACGTGACTCACTCAACAACATAACAAATGAAAAGCGTGCCGAAACGAATTAAAGAAATATGACGGAGTCCATTGTGGAATTCTAAGAATGCTGAAGATGCCCGTCGAATTTTGTTGGGAGCCGGCAATCCGACCGAACTATCCGGCAGCGAGCGGACGCGATCTGCTTTTGAAAGACGCTGAGTAATAACACGCGCACATGTATTCGTAGCGTCAGAACGAGATCATATTAAAATTCCGTGCAAATGCAAGTCGGCAGGCAAACCCAACGGTGAACCGTAGCGCGTCGAATATTTTAATACGCGCGCCGTTTATTGCTATAGGATTTCTCACTCGCCGCCTCCGTCCTCGTACCGCGGGAGGGCACCTTGGGAGAGTCGAATGCGACTGCAATAACACAGGCCCCGTCGGCGCGCCCGGGCGGGGAATTTCTCAATTAAGCCCACCGGGGGGCTGCGCTGTGGGCTGCGCTGGCGGGGAAAGGCGGCGGAATGCCCGGCCACGGGCGGCGGCCACTCGGCGGGAGGGCGGTTTGGGGGCGGAGCTGTATTGTGAGGTGTGGGGGCGGGGCAACGCGTGGGACCGCTGCAGGTGGGCCAAAGGTGAGATGTGGGGGGATCTAGAAAATTAGGAGGTTGCTCAATGAAGGATGAAAGCTGTTTACAGGATGTAGGGCAGTGAGAACGGGTGTTTCTACTTCCCATTATACAATTCGTCAGAAACTTTTCATAAAAATAAACCATTATCAGTCATTATTATCAAATCTATCGGTCCAAACAACATTTGATCTACATTTGTGGGTAAAAAATGATTTGTGTTCTATGTGTTTATAACATTCAGAATGGTGACGATCACGCGTGCGTTTTTTTAAGAAAATTTGCAGCTCATAATCAAAATGATATACATGTAAAGTGGCCATTGTGTGATACGTTTAATAAATACAATTACTTTATCTATATTAATATCCAAATTAGGCCGAAAACAGATGAAACTTCGATAACGTTGTACAGTTGCTGTCGGACACGGTCCTGGCTAGCGGCTTTGTTGGCACGCGAAATATCCACACTTCCCACTGAGTCATTATTCCAGAATGAAGTCACTAATCGGTACTTTATGATTAAATGTCTTTGCAGACACGAATTCCTACAAGAAAAGGTGGCTAGGATGAGTTCAGCTTACCCGAAAGCACACACACGTGTGGCATTGTCGATCACAGAGCGAAGAAGATTCAACTCAAAATCTCCCAAAAAATCATCCGGATACCCGAGGAACTTCAGTAGGGCAGGAATGTCGCTCTAAGTCGACGAAGAGCAATTTTGAGTGCAACAAACAAGATCTAATCCGAGAAGCGAATGAAGAAACGCAGGGGTAGACTAGGGCGGAGGCGATCTCTGCGCGGGCGCTCGGATTTGGGGAAGAAGAATTCGCGAGGGCGCCGGCCAGGGCGGGGGGTCGCCAGATAGCGGCGCCAGAGGTCTGCGCAAGAATGCGGGCTGGCGCAGGCGGAATTCCAATGTCCTGGGTAGCGGAAAAGTCCACAGAGATTCGGAAGGAAGTCGATGTACTTTTTACGAGGCGTTTCTCACGAGTTGTTGTTTTTTCCCGACTGTCCACAGATTTCCGTGAACGGGAGACAGTTATTTGCGACGCCTTATTCACTAAATAAACTGTTGGGGGGCGGATCTCGAGTGTAGGTATTTAAAATCACACAATTATCTGCCGACCGTTTCGCGGAGTATTTCGCCTCCATCAGAACAACGAAAGATATATTGCAACTAACAGTTCTCATATATATTTGATATTTGTACTGATACTTCTTTAATTACTTTGGTACATAATATACAATTTGATTTGTAGCTATATTTAACATACATATTTACATCTTGAGTGACCATCTGCAGATTTTATCATAGCTCAAATATTTACCTCACTCCGAATAACACCCCACATTCTAAACATCACTGTCAACACATGGCTTCTGTTTCCTCAATCTGAATCGTATCGTAAGTTCGACCATGTTTACAGCAGTAATCTTTGAGAATTTGACAAAAATATACTACAGAAATTAATAAGTTTGAATCAGTTGAAGCTAATCAATTCTTGTAAAAACTGCATCTTTTCTTACTGATAAAATGTCGCCAAACCAAAATTAATAGTCTGAAACAAGTTTAAATTTTCAAATAATTTTGTGTGATGTTTTCAATAATAATATGCAGTGTCATTTAACCAGTGGCAGTGTTAACTGACAGAATACAGGGCCAACGTCCCTCATAGAAAAAAATTTACCCGACTCGATTTCGCAGAACCAGTCCTCAGTTACACACTTCCTAAAATATCCTGTATTAGTGAACACACTTAGTATGACATACGTTAATCAAAAACCTGTCAACTATAACAAATTCTATTACGCTTAATCAACAAGCAGCCAAAACAAACCGAGCGAAGAGGACAAAGAAATTTTGGAAAAAAAAACAGAACAAAATGGAATAGTTCGGAGTATTTTCTGAAAGCAAACCAGTTTCCATAAACGCGCGCGTTCCGCGTCTGAAAACTTCCAGTCAACATTTTCCCACGAGGACATCACGACCTCTGTTTCAATTACTCCCGACACGGGCACGCGATTATCCAGGCCATCGGAGAAGCGCGCGGGCCGCGCAAGAGCGAAAAGAGCTCTGCTCCATCACAATCGGCGAACAATTCGGCGCCCGATGCTGCCGCGCCCCAGCGCGCGTTCCGCGGGCTTCGTCGCGCGCGGAAACGCACACCGCTTTGAAACGACCGCGCGTGCAATACGGTTTCCGCCGCCGCATTTTATTCTGTTTTTTTTTCTTTCTTTTTTTTCTCTTCTTTCTCCCGGGGAGTTGACATCACCACACTGAAACGTTAACTGCTCCCCTGGCCGACATGTCGCGGTGTGCATTGCAGCACGACCGTCGAACAGTGCGACACGTCCGCAATCTCTGTGGGACAAACATTGTACTCTAATTGATTAATAAATTGGTTATTTCGTGTTTCCTGGTATTCTCCTGGCGTCGATTGGAGAAATAACGGAATAATACTTCAAAAATGATTTTACTTAAAACGTGAAAATAAAAGTCGAAGTGAGGGAAATGATCTTCCGCGTGTCTTCCGCCAGAAGGGAAGTATTGCCGATGTTCCGACATGGAAGGAGCTAAATTCGTTTTCCCCTCGGCATTCTTTTTCCTTATCTTAAATTCCAAGAAGTTGCCATCACCGCTGTGTGTGGGAGTGGAGGACCTTTGTCGCACAGTTTTGACAATTTGAGCCGGGGGAGTTTCAGGGAAGAACTTCGAAGAAACGTACACATGAGATTCCGTAGAGCGTTGGATGTGGCGGAATAGCGGCGATTTCAGCTACTTCAATAACACGAGGAGAAGACAAACATTTCGTAAAATATGTAAGGGAAGGGAAGGTAAAGGCCTGTTGTTCCACGTTGAAAATAAACACCGCTTTGAAACGGCTACACGAGAAATGTGCTTTCCAGTCTCCCTTTTCCTTCCTTGTTAATTTTTGTCTTCCGCAAGTTCACTTCTGAAATAGTTAAATAATTGAATAATTAATTTTTAATTACTTGTCAATTAATTTTCATATTCATATTAAATCAAATGTAAACGTTTCTTGAATATCTTGTGTTAAAACCAGTAGACTAAAATTCTGGACAGGAATTACGTAAATTGCAATAACTGAACACTTGAAACGTGATATTTTGGAAACCTTCCATCGCGGCTGGACTCCTGCTGTGAGCGCACGGGAGCGGCCTGGACACGCATCACGCGGCGCGGGGATGACTCGCGCAATTAATTAGCAGCCTAATCGCCCGCGTGCCTGCGACCGCCGTTACGCACAATGGGAGCACGAGCTCCAACTACAGGGCAAAAGGCGAGCGCGGGAAAAACAAATAACAATGAAATGCAACCGGATGCTTTTGTTGGTTGATTGATTGTTAGTGATTCCGCCTTTTTCACTTCTTACTATTAGTTGATTGCTTGTTAGCTATTCCAGGCACGTCAACAGCTAAGGTCATTAGTCCTGTAAGTGTAGTTCATTCCCCTCTCGGTAAGAGGCGGATAATTTCCCCGCTGGATGCTGAGATCCGGTGCCGACCTACCGTCGACGAGCGGGGTGTTCCCCGACCGATCAGATATCTCTCTCTCTCTCACCAGCGGGCACCGCCCCAGCCGGGACACCTTCTAAGCTGCCGACCGGCCTCCCGGGGAAGCTTTTGTTGGAATCGGGGAAGCACACACGCAACACCTCAGGACTCGGGGAACGAGTGATTGTGTGTTCGATCCAAACAGAAATTTGTAAGATGGGAGTATGTAGCGCCTGGGCAGTTTCCAAGGTCTCTCTGGTCCCTTCCAAGCGAATGTCGGAAAGGGGTTTTCATTGGCAAGCTGCTATTAACTCAAAAAAAAGGTGACTGATACTTCGCTAAGTATCCATGTACAATAATCACATACTGAAAATATTAAACGCCATTAAAGTAACCAATATTTGTCTACATTATTGTTTAAAATATAGAGGTGCGATACTATTAAAGTTATTGTTTCAAGTAATTCAAAAGAATGGGTGAAATACTGATTTAATTTGTATGCATTATTACACCTACATGGTATAGTCTACATGCTTTCTTCAGTACACAGTAACTTTGCCTTCCTCATAACCGCTATGCTTTATTGAGTATATGCTTTATAGAGCACATACATGATATAATATGTAAAACATAACAGAAGAATATCACTGGAAGATTCTTCCACGGTGGTCACTCATTTCCTGACACAAAGTTCTTCTTACTATTGCCATTATGCGGAGTTTATTTGAAATACTTTCCTAATAAGATTTTCGCACTATTTAAAGAAAATATTATAGTCAGCCCGGTGACTAATTATTCAGCTATCTGATTTCGCTATGTAAAAAAAATCACAATATTTTCCCAATAAATAAAAACTGAACGACAATAATGTTGTACTAATATTATTAAAGAATAATATCTAGTTTAAAAAGCATCTGAAAATTTCCGCTGACTTTTTATGATTATTCTACAAATTCCCTGATTTTCTCCGGACTTTTTTCCAGAGCAATGAAATTCCCTGATTTTGCCTGGTATTCCTTATTTACCAAAAAGTGTCCGGCCTGTCTTTAGCTGTTTCTGATACACGATCTTATTCCGCACACAGTGAATGCCTTCGCCAAGGAGCGTGAATCACGCGCAGTTTAAAGCCCCCATCGGCGCCTGCGCGACTCCTTGGGGGGGCGCTCCTTGAAAGCCCCCCCCCCCCCAGCGTCGTTCTTACCCTCCCCTTTCCTTCGAGGCTTAATTGAATTGACTGCATTTTACGCGATACATCGAAAACTCGATTTATAAATACTCTAAAACGATCGCCGGTGCGGAAGGCATTCGGAGGCAGGGTTGTCGTCTCCGGAGAATTGGATTGATGGCGCGCGCGTGGGCGGGGGGGGGGCGGCAGGCAAAGTGCGTAAACGGTGCGATGGGGGCGCTCTCATCAAATTGAGCGATCGTGCAAGCCCGTCCTCATGTGAGCGCGCCCGTCCTCGCGTGACCCCCTCTCTTTTACGACGTGCGGTGCTACCACCCCCCCCCTCCGCCCGCGGTCGTATTCCAAGGGCGGGGCTGTTATAATTGGATATTTCGTGGGAGGAAAATAGAGAAAAAGGGAATATCTAGATTGTGGCTGAGTTTTAATAACTATTGTAGACGGTTGTTTCAAATTTAAACGGAACGTGAGTGGAATTAAATTGTCCTTTCGGATCGTATTTGTTTAGGGAAAAGAGAGGCAATTTTCACTATCAGACGAATGACACGTAAATTGAATGTGGGTATAAAATGAACGAGTGGATTGAATCCAGATCATGCAACCGAAGGTATTCAAATGCATTTCCATCTACTGGAAATTCTTTGAAATGATTTGGGGTGAAATTCCTGCTCTGCAGTCGGCTTCACTCTGTACTGACCATTTTGTATTATCAACCAGTAATTGATGTTCAAACCGAATATATTGGAACCTTGAAATAAATGTATCATAAGACGCACCGGCGTTAAGAGCATACCGCTTAATACCTAAAGCAATTACGTGCTAATGTTTTACTCTCCGTCCTTTCACCTTCATTTCCTCAAACAACATTATGCAACTGCATGCATTATGTAAGACGCGTTTGTTCCCAGATTTTCCTGTGCCCTCTTTTGTCCTGTAGGGACATCAAACGAAAGCGATATTCTGTTCGTGTGAGTTGAAGTTAGTAGACGTTGTGTGAAGGAGCGCCCCCGCGGCCTGCTCCGCCCCTGCCATGCTCCTCCACCCCGGCGCCGTCGGCGGAACGCGCCTACCTGCTGCTCCGCTACTCCACTCGCCAATGGACCCGCTACCCTTCTCTGTCTCGGCAGTTCAGCTCTGCCCCGCTTCAGTTCCCGAACGCAGCACCTCGCTGCTCAGCCGCTTTCTTCCCTTTGGCTCCCTAACGCCCTGCCTCCGCGCTTCCTCCCTACTTGTTGCCTCCCGCTGTGGTGCGCCTTGTCTCTTCACCCGTTACCCGACCCTTCACGGTGGCGAATAGGGTGAGGGTTCCTCATAGCCGCCCCGCCTCACACATCGCCGTCCTACCCGTTGCCTCCGCCCCGCTCCCTTCCCCTCCTCTTCACAGCTACCCCTTTACGTCACGAACCCTCCGCCCCCTCCACCAACTCTCCTCCGCACGGAAATGCAGCCGTCGCCCCCGCTCCGCTACTCACACGGTGTGCGGGGCCGATGAGCCTCCATCGCTCGCCGCTGGCGCTTCCCGGCGAGAACGCTCGTCGCCCTCCTCCCCCGCCAAAATATTAGCGAGCGGGCCGCGGAGCGAGCTCTGCCCCGCACGGGCAGCGCGCGCCGCGCAGAGTTTGCAGGGTAAACGCAAGGAGCTTTTAATTACCCACGTGACCTTTGATGTCGCCGATGCCGCCCGGGCGCCGTCCGTCGCGTTGGGGCTTCATTAAGCGGTCAGCGGCGCTGCGCACGGCGCCCTCCAATTTTCCTCGGCGCAGCGGCCAACAAACCTCTGATTCCGACACTTCGCGCCACAGGAGATGACGACGGCCCTCAAACCCGCGTCCACTTCGGTTTCTTCTAAGGCATTTCCCAGTCGTGCTAGTTCTCGTTACTACGTTCCGGGCTGCTGTCCAATTGTTTAACCTCCGTGTGAGACGATCTCAATTTGTTAACTGACTTTCTTATGGGTTTCCGGTGGTTGCACTACATAATTTAGGCTTCCACCTTCCAGAAACGACACACCCATACTCCTCCGAAGTCACTTGCAATCTACACTCTAATAGGATGCGCCTCAAACCGACAGTGAAGCAGTAGTGGGCCCTTAGTTTATGGATGCAGTAGCTGCGTAATACACATGAAATTCACGAATCAAATCACTCCCAGAGCAGGATTCGAACTCCGAACTCTTCCTGCCATGGAGGGAAGTCAGATTGCGCTCTAAAACTCCTCGGCCAGCCCGGCCGACTGCTTGGTAAGGATTATTATTATTATTATTATTATTATTATTATTATTATTATTATTATTATTATTAAACCAAATGATCCCAGTGTTGGGAAAGACCTCCCACAGTAGTGGGGTGGCTTCATATTAAATTCCTTTTAAGGTGATCACACCCTGCAGAGCGTTTGGTAAGGAATACCGCTTTATAATTGAGTCATTCACCCAAAATCCCCTCCACATTTAATTGCTATTCTTTTTCTTTTCGAAATTCGATATGACGATCCTATTTACGACGCTATGCACTTATTTGTTAATACGAAAAGTTTATTTTCGCCTTCAGGTTTGCGATGTCCACATAACACAATAGCTATATTTTGCGTCCGGGGGGCAACTACTGTTCTGGCAGCTGGCACA